AATCTCCTGCTTTCAGATGGAGCAGCGTTTAATACACAGAGCCGGAGTTCAGTGACAAGCTACGCAAAAAAAATCGCAGACGATATAACCTTGTGATTGTGAAATCGTTCTGCGATAATGACTAGGCTGGGACAATAAATCGATGTGCCGATTTATCGCGATATTTCTGGCCGCGGGACGTTATCGATACTCTGGCACCAAGTATCGATATTTTTTATACAAAAGATCTAAATTCATACCTACACTCTGTGGCTGTTTACCACTTTGGCTTACCGGAGCTTCCCAGATTGCGGCTGGTCAGATGAACGGAAATTGTAATTCACAGCGAAGAAGAAATACGAGCGTAATGTAAGATGAACAACAAATCAGAGATGCACCGGCGTCTTATGTTTATGGAGATGCAAACTAAAAAACTGCCCCGGAACAGCTATCAGCGTGGACTGTAGGCATCGATCACGTTATTATTGCAGAGCGCATACTGTGTAGTAAATGCTGCTCCGTCTGAAAGCAGGTGAAAATACCACATTTAATAACATGTTTTTACTCCAAACTCACTTCATAACCTCAGCAGAGTGTTTGAAATAAATCCTTCTGTGAGATGATGTGGCTTCTTACACAGAATAAGACACGCAACATATTTCATAGCATTCTAAGCAGTGATAAAGGCATTGCATTATTATATACTTTATTATAATGAAAATTATATTAGTAATTATAATAAGAACTCTGGATCAATGAAAGCAGTTAAATCTTGTGATTATTCAGCAAGGTTTCTTCTGCGGGGTGTATTTGGAGTTTCTCTGGCCTTCAGATGGAGATTTACTGCTGATCACAGAACCCTGCTTCACTGAAAGATACGCATGACAATCAGCTTCTGTCGAATCAAGATTGTGATTTATTGTGCAGCCCTAACAGAGAGGGATAGATAGCAGTGTTAGGGTTTGTGTGTCTGATCTGTGATGATTCTCACTCCTGTGAAGGTGTTTTTGATGTGTGTTCATTATAATCCGGAGTGTGTTCAGACACACATTTGTGTGTTTAGTGCTGATCTTTGTGTGTGTGTGTGTGTGTGTGTGTGTGTATATGTGATGAGTTAGTGTGTGTGTGTGTGAGTGAGTTAGTGTGTGTGTGTATGAGTGAGTTAGTGTGTGTGTGTGAGTGTGAGTGAGTGTGTGTGTGAGTGAGTTAGTGTGTGTGTGTAAGAGTGTGTGTGTCCTGGTTTGTCCCGGATCCCTGCAGGTCAGCGTCAGGATTCCTCCAGTTTTAACTCATCTTAACGGCTCTGATCGGCCGGTGACAGAGCTGAACGTCAGTGCAGGGCTTGTGCTCCTCATGATGCTCAGCGTAAAACACACACACTTGAGCTGCGATGAGAGACTGAGCCGATAACACAGCGTCACACGATCAGGAGCGCCGCTGAATGCATGCGTGTGAGTGTGAGAAACGCACTGGTTTGGGGTTCTTGGCATCGGCTGATAACGGTGTGTGTTTGATGAGCAGTGTGTGGTTGTAAAATCTGCTGATGAGGACACACATGGGTTTAGAGTTAATATTGTGCGTAATATCTTCACATCATCTCAACAATAGCATTATGTAATATCAGCCACACTGATCTCCAGATATCAGTGTCCTCTGAAAACCTGAGCGTGTTGAGTTCTGTGAGTGTGTGTGTGTGCGAGTTTGTGTGTGTGTGTGTGTGTGTGTGTGTGTGTGTGTGTTTGTGTGAGTGTGTGTGTGTGTGCGTGCGTGTGTGTTTGTGTGAGTGTGTGTGTAAGACACGTGTGATCTGAGATACAGATATATGTGTTTGTGTGTGTTATAAGACTTGAAAAGTGACTTGGTCTCCATCAGGTCCTGGAGGAGTCTAGGAAGCCCTTGTCAGGTTTGAGCTCTAGTTTCAGTCCTCTGTTCTTCTTCACTCTGCTGTGTGTTCCTGCTCTTAACGCCTCACTTCCTGCGGGGCGCGTGTTCACCACACGGTGGCGCTACAGTGTGTGTGTGTGTGTGTGTGTGTGTGTAGATGAGCTGCTTGTGTCTCTCCAGCATGTTTATCTGATGATTGCAGTTTCTCAGCTGCTGGTCTGATGTAACTAACACACGACTCATGAGCATAAACATATAAAACACCTGCTGCTGCGGCAGATCAGCTGTGAGTTCCTGCGAGTGTGAACATCACCTCAACTGAATGTCTTACAGGACAGTGATTTGTTTGGAAGTTTGGAAACAGTGCGTCTCGTTCACTAACAGATATGTGGATTATTCATATTTATTTATACTCGCCTAATGCACAAGCGTACACACGTGAATTTGCTTGAAAGCTCATTGTAATGAATTTGTAGTATTGTAAATGAACGACTGCATTCCTGAGGTTTGTTATTGGTATAAAACTCTCCCAAATCATCTCCATATATCGGCTTTCTGCACAATATTGCCTTTACAGCCTTTCGTCATTTTCACAAAACATGTAACTCCAAAATAAACTCTAAAGATGTGCAGAAGATCCTTGAGCAATGCCAAGTGTGTCATCCTCAAAATCATTTCAAACACAAACACTCATTACACAGAGTCTGTATTTTTATGCTGAGGAACTTTGCATCTCCAGCTTTATCGCAGCTTATCTCACTCTTTTACGTATATATTTTAATGATAAGCATTAAGTATATTTTAATAATATTTATTAATATATATTTTATATTGTTATATTTTAATAGAATATAAAATATATTTTAATAATATGTTTTTAATGGTATGCATTGCATATATTTAAATAAGTATTAAATATAAGCATTAAATATGCATGTATAAAATGTGATTTTTTTGGTGTGTGTGTGTGTGTGTGTGATTTCAATAGTTCTAAAAAAGTCATGAATCATGATTAATAATTGGGAATATTTGACAAAAACCCAATGAATAGTTTAACACTATCTCTGTGATCAAAATACAGCTGTGGCAACTTCAACATGTGAAAGGATACTATGACAAAGTCATCGCTTTTTTTTTTTTTTTCATGAATATATGGTTGACCTGAAGAATAAAAGTTATATCATACACTTGGAAAATGATGAGCTATATCAGCGCTTATCGACACTAGGAGTGTGACAACACACTTAGCTCACGAGATGAGACATATACTTGGTTCACTAGAACGAGATGATATTTTAATACTATTTTGAAGAAATTTTCAATGACAAAATATTTGTCTTTTAATCACAAAAATTAAACCAATGCAGTTGTATTTTGAAATATTTTAACTAATCTAGGGCTGTAACTAATGATTATTTTGGTAATCAAGTAATCTATTGATTATTTTGACAACTGAGTAATCTAATATTTTTAGTAACACAAACAGACCTAAGTGAAAACCAGGCTTTAGTATGACTATTTATATATATTAAAAATAAATTAACACCTTTTCAAAAATCCCGGTAAATTTGTTCTGGCGATCATATCGTTGTTATGGAGATGATGTGATTACTCTGAGCTGTTTACAAAGCTCCGCTGCTTTTTAATTAGGTTTTCTATGTAAATATGTGCTATTACAGTGTCAAATTATAGAAGGAAAACTCTGCTATAGAAAATTAATATCTAGTTGTAAATTTGTAAACATCTTGTATTCACAGAGATGTTCTGACACAACAGAACCAGGTGTGCGTGAGCTCTCTGTCTTGCAGGGTCACATGTTGTTTGTTTAGATGTCTTTGGTCCATGTTGTGTTCACACCCAGGTTCAGATCGCAGCGTTCACACTTATTCACACCACACTAACAGAGCAATCGCACCAGCTTTAATCGAACCTAACATCACAAGTGTGAACATCCCTATTTGAAATGTCATAGAAACACTTTAGTTCAGCTAAACTCATTCCAGTTAGTTTGTATCTTTAGGTTTGGTGTGCAAGTGGCAGTGTGGATGCTAAGCGAATCAGAACTAAATTTCATGTTCTTTTTTGTTCCGGAGCAAAGGTAAACACACTTAGACCCAATCCCAATTCTACCCCTTAGCCCTTCCCCTTTCCCTACCTTTCTCTGTTGTACGTTCATGTGAAGGGGTACGGGTGTCTCCATTCTCTTTTGGTTGGAGGGGTTGGGGAAGGGGTATAAAATAGAATTGGGATTGGGCCTTAGTGTCTGCTCGAGTGTGTGTGTCCAAGCTGTCAGTGGCTGCTGGAGTTGTGTGTGTGTGTGCGAGTGAGTGTGTGTGCGAGTGAGCGTGTGTGTGAGTGAATGAGAGTGTGTGTGTGTGTGTGAGTGAGTGAGTGTGTGTGTGTGTGTGTGTGTGTGAGTGAGTGTGAGTGAGTGTGTGTGTGTGTGTGAGTGAGTGTGAGTGAGTGTGTGTGTGTGTGTGAGTGAGTGTGAGTGAATGAGAGCATGTGAGTGTGTGTGAGTGTGTGTGTGTGTGTGAGTGAGTGTGAGTGAATGAGAGCATGTGAGTGTGTGTGAGTGTGTGTGAAATTGTGGTCCCCACGGTTACAAAAGCTTATAAATCATACAGAATGAAGATTTTTGAAAATAATAAATAGCAGAAAGTTTCCTGTGAGGGGTAGGTTTAGGGGTAGGGTTGGTGTAGGGCAATAGAATATACGGTCTGTACAGTAGAAAAACCATTACGCCTATGGAGAGTCCCCACAAGGATAGCTGACCAGACTGTGTGTGTGAGTGAATGTGAGTGTGTGAGTGTGTGTGTGTGTGTGTCGCTGGTGTTCTTGTGCAGTGAGGAATACTATGGTACTGGATGATTATTACTATACTCCTGTACTATGGTGCTTCAAAGAATACCATGCTACAGGCACTGCATTCTTCTCCTCTCTCTCAGCAGCATGAGTGTGAGAGTGTGTATGTAGTGTAAGTGTGAGTGTGTGTGTGTGTGAGTGTGTATGCGTATGCAGTGTGTGTGTGAGTGTGTATGCGTATGCAGTGTGTGTGTGAGTGTGTATGCGTATGCAGTGTGAGTGTGTGTGTGTGTAGGTGAGACGCGACGCCCTGCCCTGCGCATGTGACGCGCCGCGGTCTGACTCAGCGGGGGGCAGGGCTCAAACCGCCTCCGTCACGCTGCGTCAGTCCAGAGTCGCACAATTATGAAAATTCCACCTTCCGCTGGAGCTGCAGCGGACGCACACGACTCCCTCCGCCGCCACCGGGCTCTCCTTCCGCGGCTCACCGAGCAGCACGGCGCCGATAGATGGCTAGACGCCCCGGATCAGCGCGTCGCGACTCTGAACGGTGAAGAGAATGGTATGTTACGCATCTCTGCGGTTTTCTAGCGCTTGCGTGGCGCGCACGAGACGAACGCGCTGACAGCTGATCGGGCGTCGCGTCGAGGCGTTCTGGCTCGTGGCTCGCCGCTAGCGTTAGCTGGTGTGACGCGTGTGCGCACCGAGCGCGCTGGAAACACCTGGCGTCGCGTTCGAACGCCGTCGTACGTAGATCACAACGATCCTGCGCGGAATTAACGTAAAGCCTCTGGTTATGGAAACAGTCGAGTTAGCTTAGCCGCTCGCGTTGCGCTCGGTTCCGCAGCTCACTGACACTCAGGGGCATAATAACTGTAACGACGGTTAAATATAACAATATTCAAACAGAAATACTGGCGCGAGTTCTGAGGAAATACCTGCGGTCGGTCGCTCGCGCAGGATTATAATAACGATAGATGTCGCGCTGTTTTTATGTTCAGTAACACTTTGGAAATATGTTTATGTTTGTGAATTCGTTGTAGATGATAAGATGGCGCTCATCGCGTGTTCTGTCAGTGCGGCTGGAGCGTCGCGTGACGCCAGCGATTAATCCAGTGAAGTACAAATCAAGTGAAATCTTCGAATCCAGCGATGGTGAGTGATTAGTATGCGGCTCAAAATCGTGATGGTATCCTAAATTAATGTTTATAAACAGACCTGATGATTTTCATACAGACACTGTGATGTTCAGCAGCTCATGAAAAACTAGTGGCGGTTTATTTTAATCCAACGGCACAAAAATAACTTAAAACTCTTAAAATAAAGGCTCCAAGAGTTTTTTTTTTTTTTTTTACAGAACCATTTTTGGTTCCCCAAAGAATCTTTTTATGAACCGTTCTTTAAAAGAACCATGTTTTCTTAGTGTAAAGAAGCTTATATGCAATGGAAAGGTTCCATGGGTCTTAAAGGGACAGTTCGCCCTAAAATGAAAACTCCGTCATCATTTACTCACTCTCAAATACTTCCAAACCTGTATGGGTTTCTTCTGTTGAACTCAAAATAAGATATTTAGAAAAATGTTGGCAACCACACAGTTGCCTGTAGCTGTTGACTTCCACTGTATTTCCCCCCCTGCTATAGAAGTGAATGGGTGCCGGCAACTGTTTGGAAGAAAGAAACTTATACAGGTTTGAAACGAGTGGAGGGTGAGTAGATGACGGCAGATTTTCAAATATTGTCCTATCCTAACACACCATACTCATTGTGACCTGGTCTTCTCTACTGTGGTCATTCTAGAGGACTGGAACCGGATTTACCTGCGCTGCAGGGTCCTGGGTGTTTTTTAGGGCCTAGGGCTGAATGTTTAGTCTAAACTAGTTGAGCTGACCCTAATGACCTCTGTAAGAACACAATGTACGTGGATGGGTGGCTTGTAGAACTGCGTCTCAAAGCTGATATTTCTGCTCCGTGTCGGAGAATCACTGGTAAATAGAGCTTCAGAGTGAAATTGCATTCAGTCAGTTGGATAATTTAGTTTGGTGGTTTATGGAGTTCTATATTCTGTATTCTATGTTCATACAATGGAAGTCAATGGGGTCCAGTGCTGTTGGGTTCCCAGCGTTCTTCAAAATATCTCCTTTTATGTTCCACAGAAGAAGCGAAGTCATCATGAGCAGCAAATGAGCGTAGATTTTATTCATAGACCTACTTTATATTAAGTGTCTTATTCTTAATCTTGCGTACTAACATGTAAATTAATCATTTGATGCAATGCACTTGCTGTGTACATACTGTTTTTATATTGTACTTATATTTAACAATACCTTCCTGTAGTTATGCAATTCATATCAGTCGTTCCATCTATAATTACAGCGTTGACCCTTAAACCTAATCTAAACCTCACCAAACCACCAAACCTTAACCGTATCCCAAACTCAGCAGCAGCAACAGAGCTTGCAATTCACTTCAACGCAACGTTGTACCCAAGAAGTATTTATTTATTTAGTAAGAACATAGACGCCTAATTTGAAGTGGGATTGAAGTGTTATTGTAATATTCTTCAGAGTTGAAGCTTCTGGAAGTTTTGATGCTATTTCTGGTGGTTGACGCTGACAGCAGCTATTGAAGAGTCACTAGAGTGAGCGGTGGAACCTGTTTGAGGTTAATATGCGCTTCTGTCCGTGTCTCTGAACACGCTTGACTCGACTCTCAATGCATGAAGCTAACGGCTCCGGTTTATAAAACGAATCTGTGCTGTTTAGAAAACCCTCAACTCCAAAGACGTGACGTCTGAGACTCGCGAACGTGTTGAGCTTGTGATGCATACGCGGTCTGTCAGATCTCATTCTCACAGCATGTTTTTGGATTCTGCATTTTTAAAATGATTTGGATGTTTTCTTGACTGATCGGTTAATAGGTAAACAAATTGAACCGACGGCATGTGCAATCTGTCCTGACTGAGATCTGGTTTTTTAATAAACTTTAATATTTAAAATGAAGTTTCGAGTGCTGTATTAAATTTGGACCTGCTTATGTTACATAATATTTTATTTTTGCGCGTTTTTACAGCGTTGCTCATTATAACCAATCACACACGAGTCTGTTGAGCTTAGGAATGCAGTAGCCAATCAGAGGCGTTCAGACTGAAACTCGCGAATTCCCTCATCATAAGCAGCAAAGTGCAGATGTACGTACGATGTAAGTTAGAAATTAATTTATCATACCGTGCATGGACAGCTTTATTGATTATGAGAGCAGTTATGAGTGCTTAAACGCTAGCTAGACTGAATGCTCGTTTAGAGTGTGTTCTTTCACTGCATGATTCAGAATCATAAAATGCATTTAGAATGCTCCCAAAATTCAAGATATGGGGGCAGAAAATTTATATATTTATATCATTTCATATAGTTGATCAATATCGCATGAAGAGTGCCATTTTTTCGCAAAAATCACAAATGTGACATTTATTTTATACAACAGTTCAATAAACAAGAAGTTAATATTAAGAGACTTACGTTTTAGACGCTATATTGCCTATTTTTTGCTCTATTTCGCCAACAAAAATGGATCCAAACAAAGCCACAGCACTGTTTTGTGTCTCTGAGCAACATGACGGTGATTCGTTCCTGAATGAATCAAGCGTTTAAATGATTCGGTTCAATC